CCCGCTCAGGCTGCGCTCCCGGGGGACAGACAGACCCCCTGCCCGGAGCCGGAGACAGACGGACGCGGAGTGGCGCAGGGGCCGGCGCACAGCGCCGCGCGCGGTGCTAGCCCACAGGTGCACTGGCGGGGCCTGCGGGGCGGGGCGCGATCCCGCCCTCCCCTTGCAGGGGCTGCGCGGACCCTCCCCCTGCGAGGAGCCCACCCGCCATGCGGCGGGGATGGAGGCGGGGACGCCGCGGGCCCGACGCCCGCAGGCTCGGGCGGGGCTCGGCAGGCCGCGGGGGGCGGGTGTCTGAGCCTGGCTGTGGAAGCGGCGGTGCCCGCGCGCGCGGAGCCTCTCCGATCTCTGCGTCCGCTCGAGACGCAGCGCCCGCCCCGCACTCGGGGCTAGGAAGGTGCTGGGGGAGGTCGCCCTGTCCCCACGGGCGGGGCGGGGGGCGAAGCCGGCAGCCTGGGCTCTAATCGGATCGGCCGTAATCCGTGCCCGGCTTTCGCCACTAGCCCCGACCGTGCACAGCCTGGCTCCGTTGGAACGCGTCCCGATGGGACGGGGGTGGCGACACCCTCCCCGGGGCTGCGACAGTCGGGATCTCGCCTCCTAGTGCGGCCTGGAGAGCGGCCCTAAATACCTGTCCTCCTCTCATCCCTCGGGATCCAGATCTTCATAACCTACCGCTGGGTCCGGGACTCCAATAACCAGACGCGCTGACCGTCACTCAAGTCGATTCACACACAGCAACCGACAGAGTAGAACTGGTCCCTAGGGCTCCCAGGGTGTAAATCATGACTGGAGCAGGCAGCCTCATCTTTCCCCTCACGGAGCTGCACACGGGCTGAACCTGTGACCTTGCGGTTAGCAGCTCAGGGTTTAGCCCACAGCGTACCAAGGGCTCCATTAGCGACCCGATAGGTCACTGTAGTAAAACTGCCCCTTAGGGGTCCCAAGGTCGTAAATGTGACTTTGCCATGCCTCCTAGGTGCCTCAGGACACCAAAGAACACGTTTCTGGGTAGACCCAGGCGGCTAAGATCGAACAGGGATCGATAGGTGCACCAAGGGAGCCTAGTCACCTGCCTATCCCCAAACCCACCTGCTGGGCAGAGTAGCACCTTCAGCCTGGAGCACTGGCATCTGCAAGCCCAGGGAAGTCTTAAAAAGCACTCGGCCCTCTCACCCTTCGAAAGCTCTCCCGATGTATTACTGACCCAAATAATGATGTTTGGCTTCACAGCTTCAGGATCTGCCCCCAGGGGATCATTTAGGTGACTCTCTCCTGATCGCTTTCCTACAAGTCCCCGAGGAATTGTTTTGGTTAAGAGCCTGTTTCTCTCACCTATTTTCTCGACCTGGCATTCCTTCCCACCCTGGCCTTCCTAGTAAACGCTTCCTTATTAACAAGAAAGCTCAATTCTTGGCACCCCCCCCCCCCCGCTGTGAAGGAAGCCTTCCCTTAGGCCCTGACCACGTGGGCTGTACGTCCCACAGAGTGCAGCCCAAGTGCGGGGACTTGAGTGCATTGCGCCGCGCCAGGCAGATTCGGTAGAGAGGTGGTGGTTGAACAGGCCACGGGAATGTAGCTCTCTGCAAAGGGGCTGACCTCCCCAGGCTTCTCCATGGCTACACCCAGCCTCTGGAGTTTGAAATACAAGGACAAACGAGATCCATTCCTAACCATGTCTGTAGAAATCCGTATAGGGGCACACGGTTCTTAATGAGCTTTACTTTGAACACAAGAAAAAGGAGCCTTAGCGAGAGTTGGGAGTTAGGCTGCTAGCCAGAAGGTCAGGAGCTCAAACCCCGGAGCTCCTCCTCAGGAGAGAGGTGGCTGCCTACTTCAGTAATCTTGGAAAGCCTTCAAGGGCCATTATGACCCAGACTCCATCAGGTGGCAGTGGGCTTGTTTTCCAGGTTTTAGTGCAAGAAAAACCTCGAGCTCTTGTGGATTTAAAAGCTGCAAGTGTGGCAAGTGGAGGTGATTGTGATGAATTTGAGTTGGGGATAGGTGCTAACTTGGTGGTTTCAAAGTTGGGCTTCAAATCAGTTCATTTCAGTTTGAACCCCTGCTACAGCTCCACCTTATTCTGTGAGGTGTCACCGAATTGGTTTGGACACAGTGACTCTACCTACAAAAGAATGACACACTACTCAGTCCTGTGCCATCCTCCCCGCTGCCATGTTGAGTCCACTGTTGCTGTCACTGTCAATCCATGTCAAGGGCCTTCCTTGTTTGCGGACCCGCCACTTGACGGTACATAGACATGAGACGCATGCACGCAAGGCCACATGCAGACAGAAAACAAGGGAACTCCAAAAGCTCCTGGGGAAATTCCCGTTGGCTTTAGTTTGGGTGGGGTGCTGGGGGTCAGGCAGAGATCTTGTTTAAAATGTAGATTAGAATTCACTTTATGTGGGGCAGGGTGGAAATGCAAATTATCAGCAGGGGGCAGAAACCAAGGAACTGGTTGGCAGCCTGTTTGAAAGTGAGGGCAAATGGCGCTATTCTAGGGCACATAGGAGTACTAACTAGGAAGGCCCGCCCAGCCTGAGCAGAGGGTCACGCAGAGCGCCGCTGGCACAGCCTGGCTGTTCCTTCTGGCCTGAGCGCACACATTTCTGCGACCCCGTTCTCAAATCTCCCTTTGGTATTGGGAGTCAGAGGGTCTCTCCCCCCAGCCCCCAGAGGGTCTTAGGGGCATGCCTTCTTCGTCCTCCGAGGCAGGAGGGGAGGATAAAGACCATTTCCACCTCTTGTATGAGAAAATCTGGGTGGGGGCTTTCTCATAACCGTTTAAAAATTTCAAATTGTTAGCCTTTAAATTCAGTTAAAATAAGTTAAAATGATACAAATGAACTATCTTCTTCGTTATCAGCTCCTCCACATTTGCCTCTGAGCCCAATGTTACTTCGGTTTGGGATTTTGAATCAACTGTTGCCATTTGAGGAGACCCTTCTGATCCTTCCAAGCAGAACTCACCAGCAGCTGGGCCGGAGCCCAGTGCACCTAGGGGTGACTCCTCCAGGATCTGTATGCAAGCAGGCTGTGATGTAGGCACCGGTACCAGATTTAGGTGTCACCTTGGGAGTCAGTATTCTTAATCTTGTGAAAGCACGTAGTCACCAGCATGGGTCCAATGAATGGACCTTTTTTCTTAGCCAGTCGTCTTTCTATGCGTGTGAAAGCTAGACAATGAACGAGGGCGAAGAAACAATGGCTTCCTGTGGGGGTGTTGGCAAATTCTGTAGGCTGCCAGGAGAACACACAAACCTGTCTTGGAAGCGTAGCCAGGTGCTCCCTAGGTGCAAGGATGGTGAGACTTGTGTTTCTGGAGGACATAATGCGAGCCCAATACAGTGCAACGGCAGAAAAGAGAATACCGCCCATGGGAAGGATTGACAAAGGGGCTGCAGCAATGGGCTCGACTGTCAGGATGGTGCAGGATTGGTGAAGTGTTTTGTCCTGGCATACAAAGGGTCACTCCTGGGACAGACCTGTCTCAGCGGCACCTTAAACCACAGGCCCAGGGACTCCAGTAGGTAAGAGGGAGTTAACAAGTGGGCGCGCGGAGCACCCATGTCCTCACATTCAAGCCTCACTCACTTGGGCACCAGAACTGTGTATAACCCTAGTTTTCCACATCTAGCAACTGGCTCTGAAGTTAGTGCACCTCGTGACATTGCCTGGGAAGGTTCTCTCTGGTCAGTGAGCTTATGAAAGCAGTTTTGCTAGAACTTTGTTTTTGTGATGGCAGATTTAAGTGAACAGTGTACGGCTGTTACAATTGTTTCCTGTTCAGGAAAAATGCTGCAAACTGTTGTGATGTTGACATAGCTTATGAGAGCAGCACTATAGAAAAGCCCAAGTGTATGAGTGGTTTCCCTCATTTCAAAAGAGGTGACCTGTCCATTAATGACAAACAGTGTTCTGGATGTCCATCAACTTCCTGGACGGAAATGTTTACTTGTAGTACATTTGGAGTTCATTCCACCAGGTCAGACTGTTAATAAAGCTTTCTATTTAGAGGTTCTGAAAAATTACCTGTGTGTAACAAAAAAGGCCTGATTTGTGTCAGACGGGAATGGTTTTGCCACAACAATGCACCTGTTCACATAGCCATTTCAGTGTGCCAGTTTTTGGCACACACAAGAAAAATCCAGCATGCCTCTCTTGCCCTACGCACCTTAATCACCTGACCTCACTGTGTGTTTTGTTTCTGTGAATGAAGAGGGACGTGAAAGGATAGCAATTGAATGTAGAAGCGATGAAAAAATGCAAGGGAGGTGCTATCATCCATTCAAACAGAAGAGTCTGAAAAATGTTTCTAAGAACGGAATCGCAGATTTGACAAATGTATTACTAAGTGTAATGGACAGTACTTTAAAGGTGATAATGTTGCTTTATATAAAAATTTAAATAGATAACTTTGAAAAAAATTATATATACATTCCGGGGGTTTTTTGGGTACCCCCTCACATACATCTGCAAATCGATGGATAAGAGAATCCACAACTTTGTCCAAGGCCATGGCAGGGAGTTAGTATCACCAGGAAGGTGGCAAACGCTGGACTTCTTTTGAGCTGTGCACCACCTCGTTTCAGGGACCTCTGGATTCTGACCCCAGCAAGTACTTTAACCTCAGAGAAGGGCCTGCTATCTGGAGGTGATCATCTCGTGTAGGCTCCGCATCTGCCACTAGATGGCAAAGCTCTGGGACAGCATTGCTCAAAATCAAGCCAGTTGGAAGCCACACAGCACCAGACTGGAGATTCTGGCAGCGAAGCTTGTCTGAAAAGTGCTGTCTTAGCAGTTGGCCTCTTCAAACACCCCCCCAGGCACCCTGCAGTTGACATCCTCCTAAGAGACAACAGAATAAGCTGACCAGAATGCTACCAGCAACCTGGAGTCATGGGAGACTCACCAGTCAGGTTTAAGACCCCTTTCTGGGCCCTCTGAACCCTTCAGCTGGTGGGTTGTCATAACCAGAGAGGGGCTTGTTTCCATCTGTGGTCACTGTACTGTACCATAGTAAGGCAGGAACAAGCTGGACCCATAGGGTGAGTGGTGGCATTTTCCTGAAAGTTGGGTCACTGCTAAAACTAGTCACCTGGTGGGAAGAGCTCAGAAAGGCCTCTGGGGCAATATGGAGTATAAAGCCGCATCTTTCTCCCGGAAAGGTTGGCGGTTTGGAACTGCTGACTGTAGGGTTAGTGGTCCAATGCGTAAGCACAATGACGCCAGGGCTCTTAGGAGAGACGTCTCCAGTTCTGCGAGGCAGGAGCCACCGTTCATGCTCTCCTGTCTTGAGGTAGGAGGCTTGGGTGGGGGGTGGGGGGACGACAACGACGACGATGACGGGGTTGAGACAAGCTATGATTAGTTTGGAACCTCTTAGGTTTGAGATTCATGGGACGTGATAGTCTACCATCACCACAGTATGGTCTCAGTGAGTTCACAAAGGTGGCAGGCACTGGTGGCATGCCTGAAGATGTGTTGCAGGAGCTGCCCAGGTGTCAGCGGGAACCTCAGAGGTGCAAGGCGCCCTAGGGGTTGAGTGGTTAAACGCTCAGCCACCCATCACAAGCGGCGGCAGTTTGAAGATTGCTGCGTAGGGCAGCTCACTGAGTATGACAGGGACACGATGAATCGGTTGGACAGCACATGCAGGGCGAACCTCAAAGGGCCCCAAGGAAGGCATCCTGGTTCTTCAGTTGAAGGTTAACGGCCCTCTAGTGACCACACCCAACAGGAAAGAAACCAGTCCACTGGCCAATTCACCCTGGACACAAGTTGTTCCCCCAAAATGTGATGACATATTCTTCAGCAACAGTGAAAATATTTAGCTATCTATGCCCCAGACGCCCCCTCACCTCACCACACTGGAAGTGGCCTGGGGATTTTGGTAAGCTTAGTCACAATGACAATTTCACTACACAAAGTTCAAGGCCTGCCACAGCAGGGCCTCAAATGTTTACAAAACAGTTTCACAGAATGCGTCACCAGGAATTATGCAGAGATCTTGCTCTCAAAACCACCCAACAGATACTCTTCTCAAAGGGCGGGCCACCTTAACCTACTGCTAACTCGTCGTAATCCCATCTGCTGGAATTACTCAGGAAGCAACTAAGGAAACCATTTTCTGGAGAAATGATGTACATGGGAGCGCACACTCAACTTTGTGAACCAATCTTTACTTAGTTTAAACCAAGGAAAGACGTCTGCCTTCACCCTCGGAAAAGTGGAGAAGCTAATCCTGCAACGCCAGTGGATCCAGAGAAAGGAGCAGAGGGCAGAACTCAACCTGGCCCACTGCTAAGAGGGGTTGGGAGGGCACTTCATCTCCCTACGAAGCCTGAATCAGCTGCTCGTGCTGCATCACGGGTTCATAAACACTGTGAATGGAATGGCCCTCGTCTTGTCTATACACAGGGCTGGCACCAGTACCTGCACAAGCACTATCTTTGGACAATGTCAAAGTTTATGGACTCTTCTACTCTTTAACTTTGAGCTGTCTACACTGAATCCCGATATTCTCCAATTTGCCCAGGGAACTTATTCCTCCCTTGGGAGTCAAATGTTGCCTATCCTTCCTACAGGGCTTCCAGTCCTCTTTCATGTTGACCCTGGAAGACTCCACCTTACTCATGAAGGGAGCCCTGGGTCAGACCATTTCAACTGCTGCCCCAAACCAGGGGTCTGTGCACGTGGGTTTGTCACAGGACATACAGGAACCCTGGTGTGTGAACGCAGAGAATGGGACTGGAACTCAGAAATGGTGCTCCGTTTATTCACTGTGAAAGATTAGCCTTTCTGACCTGTTTTTCCCATATCCCCCAACCCCTTCCCCTCATGTTTCCAAAAGAACAACACACCGGGAAGACACCTTTGTACAAAAACCGCATATAATTCCCCCGCTCCTCACAAAATTGGGCGGCTCTGTATCAGGAATGAAACTAGATCACAGACATGAAAAGAAAAAGTCACTGCTTATCCTGAAACGCAACAGTGCTGAGAACTTAGATATTCTGTAGAATCATGACCAGCATAGTAAAAATATTTCCACCTGGATCTTTTAAATTTGAAAGTGATCACATTAAAAAACCTGAGGTTACCAGGGACCACAGTATGAACCAGAATTCTGTTTGTTTGTTTTTTCTAGGACCCCAGGGGAAAAGGTTAAGTATTTGGAATGAGTTTCCTTTGGGAAAGATTGGCAGGAAGTGGGGAGAACCCTGGCCATTCTCAAAAGGCACTGGGGTCTCTCAGGAGAAAAATGAACCAGAACTAAACCCCAGTAGGGACCAGCTCATGTCCACTCCCAGAGCCCAGACAAGCACGTTCGAGAACAGTCTCCCCAGCTCTAGGACTCTGCTCAGATGGTGATGAGGACCAGTTGGTTAGAGGCAACACCTGAGGGTTTGAAAGGCAAATCTCAATTGTGGATTTTTTTGCTTTCTGATAAGAAAAAAGTTCTAAGATGTTTTAGAAACACCTCCCTACCCCCTCTGACATGTAAAACTTTTTAGAACATACAGAAAAAGATCCCCCAAAGATGTTCCACCTTGCATTCTAGGTAATGAGTACGTGAAGTCACTAGGCCAGGTGCTTTGAAAACCAAGCTCTATCCAAAGCACCCTTTCTTCTCATCCATGGGAGAAGGCGGGGGAGAGGAGGAGGACCGACCAGAGGAGAAAAACGAACTCTCAAGCGACAGGGCTAGAAATGGACTCAAATTAAGGCGGTTTACGGTTCTTCCTCTGGAATGGCATTGCCCTCCCAGCTTGAGAACCCCAAGCCCCACAGCATGACGCTCTGCCTGCCAAGTGAGCTCCCTGGCATCGCCTTGGCACCCTGTGATAGATGGAGTGTGAGAGCTCAGAAAGGGAACGGAGGTACGGAGAGGCCGGTGGTCCCATCCCACTTCTGCAATCCCATCCCAAACCAAAAGCACCGCTTCACTACGCTCTGCTCACCCTGGCTACTGTGAGAGGTAGTTTGGGGACTGCACGCCCAGCCACCCTAATTGAGTTTCGTCATCTAAAATGTTGACTACTATCTACTTTTTCTTCTCCCTTTTTCTTTTTTAAGGGTTTCTTAAAGAGGGAAAAAGAATGCACACAAAGCAGTCAGAGGCTAGACTCCTTGGGTGGCCGTTGCCCTAGACCCTCAAAACCGTCCTGGCTAAACTAGGGGACTAAGGCAGAGCTTCCCAAACCCCAACCCTCAAAGCTCACACTGCCCTCAGAGAAAAAACCCCCGACCCCACCCCTCTCCAACAAATCATCTGCATAGAAAACCAGAGCCAGCAGGCCTGGGGAAGAGGGGCTCTTCCCGTCCCTGCCACACACTAGTTGACATCGCATGTTCTCTGAGGCAGGTTGGAGACCCTCACCAGGGAACTGAAATCAGTGGGGTCCCCCTTCTTCCCTATCTCTTATCATTCTGTGACCAGTGTCTCAAGAGGCCCCACCATCAGCACTGTTCTTAGCTCAGATAAGCAGAAATAAGGTCACTTATAATGCCTTAAAGTTTGTCTCCTGTGGCCATCCCCTGCCCACCACCAGTTTTTTGGTTCCTATTAACTTAGGATGCTCTCTTATAAAACAATAACACCAAGGGGTAAAGAAAAGAAATTGATTGAAAAAAGCATTATTAATACAAGAGAAAAACAAAAGGAGAACCTGCCGTAAGAGCAAAAATCATAAAGCCATAGCATACCGACTGACAGGACCTACAGCCAACTGGCAGCCCAGCCTACCAGGATGGGGGCCGGGCCGCCAGTCACTTTTGGAGACTCGGGCACATGGACACCACAGGCTCTCCTTAAGAGGACCTGAGGACCCTGGCACCAGGGGTGTCCGAGCACGAAGGGGGCCCAGGAAAGGAGAAATGGGGAGGCACAGGACACGTGCTTGGGGCTGTGAGCAGAAAAATCCTGAAGAAACCCAAGGGAGGTGAGGAGCACCAGTCTTGTCATCCCCTCTCCAGCTGGTGGCGCTGGGCATGGATTCCCTCCTCTTCCAGGCTAGGGTGCAGCCGAGGCTGGTGGGCCTGGAGCAGGAGGAACGCCATCTGCGGGCAGTGGTGGGGGTGGCGGCTGCTGTGGTGGTGGAGGATCTGCAAACACAGCCAAGAGGAAGAGGTCAGTGCTGGAAATGCAGGGCTGCGGAAAGAACCCATTCAATGAAAACGACAGTGCAGTCATTCACTTCCTGTGTGGCGGCTAACTGACGAAGTCTGAGAGGCCTTTGGCTGTTGTAGCCTATGTGGGCCAGGTCCAAATGCCAGGTTCACGGGGGCATACTTCAACCCTGGCGGTACGGGAAGAAGGCGGGGTCAGGGTCTGCCCCCCACCCCCAGAATCAATCCAGCCTTTCCCCAAATTACACAATTTTGCTGGATTTTAGTGGTTCTCAATGCTAGTTTTCTCTTCGGTTAAATAGGAGCTCCTTCCTGGGTCTTCTGTGCTGCTTACTGCTCTCTCTCCACAAGGCCGAGCGCTGAGCTGGGCACAAAGCAGACCATCAAGAAGTTCTTGAGGACGGACTGCTTTCAAGAGGGCCAGACAGCTGTATTCCAGCAGCTGCCTTTGTCAAGGCAGACCTTGCTGGGGGCCTAGCGAGGGCTCCAGAGATGCCCTTCTTCGGCTTTTGGACCAAATTAGCCAGGTCCTGAGGGGACAATTAGTCTGAGTGTCTGTCTCAGGTCCTTTACTAGTTTAACTTGAGCTGCTTTAGCGTACAAAGAAGGAACCCTAGAGATTATTTAATCCAAGGTTTTAAAAATTTCGCTGGATTTGCCAGAAATGAAAACACACGGAAGGAATAAGGAAAGTGCATCCTTGCTCCCAGGTCCGTTCACGCTACCCCCACCCAGTAGGTCTCCACCAAATCCCTGAGGTTCTTCCACGCTGACCTCAGCTCTCACACATCATCTTACAGCGGGATCTCAGGCCTGACGGGAGCACAACTCACCCAAGGCGGCAAGGCCGGTTCTGTAGCGCCAGGGTGCTGAGATGTACCGATAAAGCCTCTCCTCTGTTCCTAAGGAGTCCTGCTGGCTAAGCACTAGACTATCAGTCAGGTGACTTTCTGCTCCAGGACACTTAAGTCTTGGAAACCTGGCACAGCTTTTTCACCAAGAGTCAGAGATGGACTCAATGGCAGGGGGGTTGGTTGGTAACCAGACCCTGGTCTTGTCTTCACGCTTACAACTTTTGAACTGTTGTCACAAAAGGCTCGTGCAGGGAAAAGAACCTGTAGTTCTGTATGTCTACCAAGATTCAAACTGGGCAGGCTCAAAGAGCAACCAGTGAGGCCTGCCCTTCAGCCTCTCCACAAGCCCCGCTGCTCAGGACGGCGGCGCGGCGCCCCCTCTGGAGGCAGTGGGACGTGAGCCTGACTTAATGAATGCACCCCGCCCTCTCCACAGGTGCCGCTCATCAGGACTGCTGGAGAGCACTAACCCAACACGAATGCACAGGACTACGGTCTCAGAGTCACTGAGACTGCCCATGGAACTCCTAAACCGCGGGAGGTTAGGAGGCTTGGCTCACATGCAAAGTCCTCCTTTCCTTGTCTAAGGCCCGTTCCCTGGCAGACCAAGCTAAGGCATCACCCCACTCTGCTACTTACACATGCCGTTAGGTGCTGTGAGGGGCACCCGTGGTCCTAAGATGCTTGCTGGCATTGGAGGCATACCAGGAGGTGCGGGGCCACTTGCAGAGGGGTGGATGTTGGCTGCAACGGTGGGAAGCATACGGCCTGGCATAGGTTGCCCAGGCATCATGGGGCCTGGGCCTGGTATTTGACCTGTGAAGGAAGATGTATATCAGGAAAGGGTTTCAGAAAGACCAACTGCCCCAGATGGTAACAGACAGACAAACATGCCTAACCCTACAAAGGATCTACATATCAACAAAGCACTGAGTAATACATGGTACCTCCGGTTTCTTCTTTCTTTTTTGGTGGTGGTGGTGGTGGGGTTAATGGGGACAGGCCTGTGGAATGACTCATTACTCTAAACCCTGGTAAAAACAGGCAGCTCTGGGAAACAATTACGAAGAAAGCCTCTCAGAAAGCAGGCATTCACTCTGCTTACTGTGGGTGAGCAGTGGATTGTAGATGTCTTCCTGGGGGCACAAGATACCACATCCAGACCGGTGGGAACAAGGAGCAGGGCTCCCAGGCAGGCAGGCCGCAATGCAAGGGCATGGCTCCAAAGGCCAAGAGTGGACAGCTTCATGTGTGGGCTCTGACCAGAAAGGGATTGCTTGCTACTCTGGGGTCACCCTCAAAGGGAGCTTCATCTACAACCCCAAGACCTGTCCACACTAAACATCTCCTTCATCTCCCTCCACCAATAAGGGGGGAAAAGGAGAGACAACACAGATACTTCCTTCAACCACTTGAAATGAAGGCTGGGAGCCCCTAAGGAAAGGGACAGTCGGAGCTCTGGTGTTCTCATCCGCAAGGAGCCTCGGAAACGAGTTCACTACACCTTTTCTGCAGAGCTAGCTAGTAGAACATTGTTCTCATCCGCAAGGAGCCTCGGAACAGAGTTCACTACACCTTTTCTGCAGAGCTAGCTAGTAGAACATTTTAGGCTTTGCAGGACATCTGGTCTCAGTTGTAACTACTCGGCTTTGCTGTTGTAATGTGAAGACCAACCCAGACAATACACAACAAACGAGTATGGCTAGGTTCCAGTAACTATTTATGGACCCTGAAATGGAAATTTCTCAGAATTTTCACTAACATGAAAGATCACTCTTTTGAACCCTTAGCCGTTTAAATAGGTAGAAAGCATTCTTAGGCTGTGGGCTGGAGTTAGATAACCTCTAGCTTTAGATATGATGATGGATACTTGATTAAATTTGAAACCTAGTGGTTTGGCTGCTGGGCTTGGTTCTAAAGAGCTTCAATCTATGGAGACCAGTTTAAAGGGTACAAAGCAAAGCAGAAGTCCTTTGGAAAGAACAAATTATATTCACAGGACAAAAAGAGAGAGAATCTATGTATTATTATTTTCCCCCTTCCCTTTAAATTGAGGGACTTCAATACAGGTTTTCCAGGATCAGTCATGAACAGCTGAAAATTAAAGAGTGCCTTAATCCAATCTAGGAACATTTGAAAGACAGACCACCCAATAGCAAACTGGCCATCAAAAGGTCTAATACAGCGTTGAACATAATTAAGGCAAAGATTCCTATTTGCCACTTTAGAAAAAGGCCCATCTTAAGAAAGACTCACACCTCAGACCATGCATTCGAATGCTTGTTGTTGCAAAAGGGACCGAGAGAGAACACCCTGAGAACACCCTACGTGGCTGGGTTGTTCACGTAAAGACTCTGCTGAGGGGCAGCTGTCAGGGGTGCAGCACAGCTGGGACCCACCATCCAGTAGGGGCTACTGTAGAAAAGTATACCATGCTAACCGATGCATAAGCAACTCTCAGGCCCTGTTGTTCACCTTCCCACACGCTACAGCGTGACTCTGCAAGTGCCCAGCACAGGAGCTCAGAGGCCCGCCTCTGGGAGAATTTGGTCACATCTCTCAGTGAAAACCACGAGCAGGTGGTGGACCCCTTTTTTGGGAAAGTCACTTAGCATGTCCTGAGACTCCGGTTCTCAAAGCGATTGAAGCTAAAGACCAGCCACACGGACCACAGGGTTTTGAATGACCAAGGGGACGTTTGCTACAGTTCCTCACAAGCTACAAAGCACTTCACTCACGCTGCTGCTGGCTCCTCCAACACCCTTGTCAGAGACAAGGCAGCCACTCATTTCACAGAGTGAGCAGAAGCTCGGAAACGCTTACAGAGATTACTTTATGGTCACAAAGATAGTAAGGTATCAAACGAAGCCTCTATTAAAACACCAAACTCCTCCCATGAGACGACTCTGTGCTCCAGTGGAACAGCCCACGCAAAAGGACTTCATTTCCCAGCCAGCAGCACAGAACACTGAGGCATATTCTTCTAGTCCAGACCCAGTGTTTCCTCCTTCACATCAGCTGTGGGGCCATTCTGCCTCCTGAACTTTTATATTTTTTATTTACTTTTAACGCTCAGTGATTTTAGCAGCAGGTAGTAGATTGAATGGTGGCATCCAAAGGAACAGGTTCAGGTCTAATTCCTCCTTTAAAAAACCTCTCTTTTTAAAAAAAGAAGCATCGTCGTGGAGAGCAAATGTTTCGAGAATGAGGAGGGTAATGAATGTACTAATGTGCTTTATACAGTTGATGCATGTATGGATTGTGATAAAAGTTGTATGAGGCCCCAATAAAATGATTTAAAATAAAAAAAATCCCTAGAATCTGTGCATGTGACTGAATTTGAAAAAAGCTTTGTAAATGTAATTAAATTAGGGATCTGGAGATGAACGTGGAGCTACCTGGTGAGCCCTCAATCCAGTGACAAGTATCCATCTAAGGGCAGCAGGAGAAGTCAGAGGAGACGGGGAGGTGAACGTGACAGAGAGAGAGAGATGTGGCCACAAACCAAGTCATGCCCCCAGTGACAAGAACTGAAGATTCTGTCCAGGTGCCCCTGCAGGGGTATCAGAATCCTGCCCTCCAAATTGTAGAAGAATAAATTCCTGTTTTAGGCTCCCAGTTTGTGGTTATTTGCTATGGGAGTCACAGGAAACAAATCCACGCCTCTCTCTAATCATTTTACTGAAGAGCTTTGTGTTCCTCCATCAATCATTCAATCCCTATAACAACTCTATGAACTGTTGTCATCCCCGAGGAAGAAAAGACAGGTCATGTAGTTTTGAGTGACTTGTTCACGGTGGTAAATTATGCAGAAACAAGGGGGCCTGAATCTGATCTCGGTCCGAATTCTCGCTATAGTGGTACCATCCGTAAGCGCTGTGCGCCTCTGTGCACTGAAGTCTGGTCTGAGAAGAGAAAAGCAGTCCTCTTGCAGCTGGGGGTTGAGGACGGCATGACGCCGCCTTGCTGCCTCCACACTGATGCCGACCGAGCAGTGCCATTCCTAGCTGGAGAGAGCCGTTCTCGGCAGCAGCTGAGTGTGTACTCCGGCAAGGCCATCCAGAAACCAGGGAGCAAACAGCCCAGCGGTTCAGGTACACTAGCTCAGACCCAGGAAGTCAGAGCGGTCCATCGTGAACTGAACGTGCATGCTGCGTTCTTGATGCCAGGCTGGCAATGTTGTCACCAGAGCAACCTGCTTAGAGGCAGTGGCCTATTTACCTAGTTCCCCACATCTTTATGGCAACCTGCTCAGAGAGGGGAGCCTAGGGTTTGCCAAGGCTCTGAACCCAGGAGCTCGAAAAAGATGTTTCTTCCCCTCATATTACAGATTCTACAGCCTTCTGAAAAACCAAGTCTCTCTGTCCCTGCTGTTACAAAGCCACTGGGATGGAGCCCTCAGCGTATGCCATGGAAAAGCTCCACGGAGGTAGCGGCAACAAGAGCTGGAGGAAAGTGGGATGAAGTGAGGATGGCAGTCTTCAACAGAGCCAACAAGACCCCTCGGCACAAGCCTTTACGTGAAGGCCATGCCTGGCGGAGTTTCCATCGATTCTTCCTCCTCCCCCTCGGGAAGTCTGAGACGAAAACACCCAGCAGGAAGTCTTGCCAAGTTAAATGAAAGGAGTGTGTGTATGTGCATGGTTTCCAAAAGAAAAAACAAACACTCGGGTTACCTGCTCCCCATTCGAGAGGAAAGAAGGAGGTGAGAGAGACACAGCTTTAAATCAACAGCATCAAAGCACAAAATGGTGGGAGTCTGACCTACATACAAGCAGCTTAAAAAAAAAAAAAGACCAACAACAAAACCCAGCAGGCATCTGAAGCCAGAAAAACGGATCGGTTTGCTAAAATTAGGTTCAGCCTAGTGGAAAAATCTCTCACGCTCTTTCAGGTTCATTAGATCTTTTACTAAAGTGTTACGCTTAACAGAACGTTACTTTAGGATTTTATTTTTATTCTGAGATGAGAGGTGCAGGCAGGAGGAGAAAACGGATGGAGGAACGGGAACTTGTGAAATTCCAAGTCTGGGCATGATGCTCAGGACATTTCCAGCGGTCCACAGCACGGCCTCTGGCACTTGGGGGAGTCCCCAGGAGAACGGAAGTAACACAAATCAGGACTGCGCCAGGTGAGGGGAAGCCCAGACGGAGCCTGCTCTTTCCCCGGCGGCCTCCCACAGCACCCAACAGATGTTCTTTGTTGTGGACGGAGCCTCGCTGCTCTGTGACGGGAACCTGGTCCTCTGGAAAGTGGCACACCAGCCTTGTTACCCAGGATGGGAACAGGACTGAAGGCAGCTTGGATAACAACAAAACTACTGTGGCCAACTCAACAGGTTAATCCACCCCATTTCGGCACTGGGCGATAAGATCAGAGAGGGAGCTAAGACATGACACTGGTTGTAATCCTTTCCTGAGTCTTCTTTCCCAAGAACAGGGCTGTCTAGGTGGGTCTAGCTGGGGGCCCAAGTTGAGTGTTTAATGCCGCGGTTGAAATATTCTTGAAGATGCAGTATTTCAGGGACTCGGATAAACTATTCTAGCTGTTCAGAACGCCATCTCTATTGAGTCTGATCTCTCGATTCAGATCAACTCTCCACTTCTACTTCCTGGACACCTCAAAAAAAAAAAAAAAAGAAAGAAAAAGATCCACTATCCACAGTGAAGCAAGCATACTGCTATTGAGACCGAGTTTCCCTCTGCTTTTCACAAACGCAGACACATGCTATGGCTACCCCACAGCAGGCAGGCAGGTAGCTCTCTGTAGTCTCCAGGGTCTGTCAATCACTAAAGATGCCCAGGGGAGGGCAAAGC